AGAGCTGAAGGAAACTGCCTATCAGTACTGCTTCGAGAAATGGAAAAACGCTAGCACAAGTGTATTACATCAAAGAGGGGAAAAAGTAGAAATTGATGGATACACAAATATTTTTGAGAAAAATTGAAATTCAACTTATTTTTTGAACAGACAGCGTAGGTGTGGTAATAATAATCATCATTATTGGTAGAGACGGTATATTGTACTGCGAAATTAATATTTTCAAATCTATAACTATCAGATACTGAATATTTTACTCTTATAATATGGTTGTTAATAGGTGAGGAACAGAGAAAAAACTCAATGAATATACAAATGAACTTCATAGAATAACTTCTCTCTTAACAATATATCGAGAAGTGAGTGAAAAAGAGCGGAAAAAATCAGTTCAGGAATTCATTACTGAAAGGGTGTTGATTAGATAATAAAAATTCAAGTGAAAAGCCATAGGCGTAACATTCTTGACAACAGTTTCATGAGTATTACTTATAAAATAAAGTTTATATTGAATGAATTTTGTATTGTGAGCTGCACACTAACCAGCTGAGTAGGCTCAATGAGTTCTTTGAGTCGATAAGACAAAAAAAGTTGAGTAAGAAGATAAATTAGAAAAAACAGAAGAAGAACCGGAGAAATGAGGAAATATATAAAATAGATGATGCAAGAAAGGGACCAAAAAGACAATGAGCAAGTTTCATTATATTAGTAAGAGTACCTTTTGAATAAAACTATCCAATGTTAATTTGAAGATGGTTGACAATGTTATGTGGTATATTTTATCAGTTCGGACTTCCATTGTCTAATATAAAATAAATTGTCTACTTAAAATAAAATGTTATTTCTTTGTAATTTCAGTTTTTATGTTCAAATGAAATTGTTATTTTCGGTTCATCTGTTTAATATTTTTTCAGGAAATTCAAATCAATTTATATTATATTAGACAATGGAAGTCCGAACTGATGAAATATCCAATGTTAACTTATTTTCGATAAAAATGTTTTACACAATTTAAAGTGGAATTGAAGAATTGCAAAAAGGTAGAAGGAAAAATACAGCATGTTGAATTAGAAATACAATTGAAGAATCCAAGAGATTGAGAATGAACTTTCTAAGGTTGAAGAAGAAAATAACAAATCAAAAGAATTTATGAATCTGAAAATACACATTGCAAGACTAAATATTGAAATAGGTCTTTCTTTTTAATGTACGATTTTTAGCACGGGTTGGACGATAGGAAGTGAAAGTCGATCGTTCGGACTCTGGTCTAGAATGTGGGAGGCATGAAATCTATGAACAGTGTCAAAATTCCCATTCCGAACAATCCATTACTAACCCTTTTTATATGAATCACTGTTAAAATTTGCGAACACTTTCACGAGATAATTTCCTGCAAATTTCTACCCGAAATCGTATTGCGAAAGTGTATTGCACTTCTGGTTTTGGGCAAAGTGCTTGTTTTGGATTCTAAATGGATTCTGTAGTTTATTTATGACTAAGTGACAATCCCCGGTGTGCAAGTCAAATATTTTGTAGGAACAATTTTGCTACCTTGGAGTACATTATTGCAATTTTCATAAGGATCTCAATTTTTTGAAATGAAATGCAGCCCATGGTACCCACAAACAATGAAGCTTCAAAATCATTTAGGTGATTTTTGAGTTTATGTATAACAAACAGAAAATAGTTATTTTTTCTTTTTTCTGTTCAGAACTATCAACGCTATTGAAATTTTTTTTCATAAGGAATTTGTCTGTATAATAAATGAACTGATCATGTGAAAAAAAATGTTTGTATTTCATCAGTTACTTTAACTATTTACTTGTTTTCATATATTAATAAGAACTTTTTAACTATTAGAATGGTATCTGCTTTCAAACAATGACAGACTGAAAATATATCTCTTCCATTTTTAATTATTAAAATATTTGAACTATGTATTTTTGCTAATTGAAGTTCAGTTTCACTCTAATCGTGAATTATTTCTAGCTGACCGGACCTACCAATGGAACTTGTATCAATGAAAGACTGGTAATTTCAGGACAAAATATGAATGATATAATTCCCACAATTTGTGGCTATAATACAGGACAGTCCAGTGAGTATCAGTGGAAATAATGCTATTTCATATTTGAATGTATACATCTTTTGCCTGCAGTAATAGTAATCATGAAATTAATTCATATTATTGGACATTATTGCATAAGTGATTTTTAGGACATGGACGTAGTGAGTGCGCTAATCTCAAGAGTTTCATATAGCATTGTAACGTCATCTGTAATAGGTTTTAACGAACAAATTAGTCTGAAGATATTTGAAACTTGTTTGAAAGAAATATTTTGGAAGTTGCCTCCGAAATATCGAATATGCTTTCTGACTATCAGGACTGGCTGTCGTGTTGAGCGAAACTAGGCTTTTGGGTCTCCAAAATCGGAAGTATGCTGTTTCTTTTAAATGAGTTTCAATAGCTTGTTCAGTCTGAACAATTAATCTTTTTACAAAATTTTCATATATTTTGACTTTTCATTTTCCAACATTTCGTTTTTGGTGTGACCTAATATTTGTTGAAAAGAGCGAGCAGTTTCGTAGGATAGCTATTCACGTGCAACTTTTGAAAAATGGGATCTAATTCGTTAGTATATCGTAGTTCAATTTGTGAGCTTGCAGTCAATAGCTGGACTGTTACAAAGAAAACTCTTTGATATATGTCAAGCTTTCGGTATATTTCACACCTTCGTCAGGACAACTACAATGATAAGATTATATACCTTGTAAAAAATATATTGATATAGGGAACTTACTAACGTTAGAATAAAATATAAAATGGTTCAAAAATAGATAGAAAAAAACATGAAATGATGACAGTTGTTCAAAATTTGACTGACAATGTCAAGTGGGAAAATTCTGAATAATACTCGATTCCTAGATCTTTTATTTTCTTTATTATATTTCAGTAGGTATGTGTAAATTTCGCTGAGACTTCCAATATCAGTTCTTTTATTCATTGAATGTTATTCGTGATTGATATGTATCATTTCCAAAAATATTCTTTTAGTTGTATTGATTTGTCTATCTTACATATGTGGGTTTTCATAATTCATGTTATGATCCTCCGAATTAACATGTTCTGTTAATGCACAAGAATTAACATTTCGTCTACAGTTGCTCTTATGGGGGGTGATGCGACTACTTCTAAGTAGTATTAAATTGGATTTTTATTTATTTGAAATTGGAATTTTCAGTTCACTCTATAATTTAGATATAGTAGTGACATTTGTTTTAGATACTTTGNAAAAAGAAAAAAATTATCATTTTCCTTATCAATGTTTCTCAGTGCGGTGCAGCCAATTGCAAAGATGGACAACAACTGGTTACCAAAAATGAAAAACTTCACATATGCACGGTGTCACCAACAGGAGCTATATAATGATGAAAAACAAACAAAAGCAGCAGCCAGCCAGAGTATTTTTTCATTTGTAGCCATTCTGTTCCCTGGTTCCTCCTGGAACTAGGGAACAGAATGTATACTGAGGTATTGTTTTTTCTCGAGGACGTGTCTTCTTTCAGTAACATGTGTCAATGTTGCAATTCTGACATCTATTTTTGACACGGCTAACCTTATCAACCTTTGAATTGAAATTTCAGTCTCAATATTTCTAAATAATTTTACTTGCGCCAAATAATTGTATTTTATAGGCCAATTTTTGATACTTCTGGTTACATTATTATAATTTTCCTAGATACGCTGAATTTATGAAAAAATTACCCATATTACCTACTCGCTGATAAGTAGATTTTGTGTTTATCCATTATAACTTTCCCATTTATGATATTTGTTTAGATTAGATCAGTATGAATAACGTGAAGGAATATTTGAAAAAATATAAAAATGGAATTAGAAAAGTGAGTACAGAAACATTCTGATGGCTTAGAAATATGTCTTCTAAAAACACTTACATAAGAATCATTGTCAGAGTAGCGGAAGGGTATGAAAATGTCAAATTGGCCTAAACCAAATGCGACTTCACATATGGTCAGGTTTCTACTGAATTACGAAAATACAAATATTGAAAATCGGGAAGAATTTCTCTATACTTCGATTTTCGCTCCAAAGTTATTGACTGAAACTGTAATCAACTAACATTTTATAATTATTGCAAAATTTGCAAAATATATGTCAAACTGAATTGAAAGGGGTTTATTTTTTGGAAAGAAAGGTTTTGGCTTTCTACTTTTCCATCTTTATACAAAAATTCCATAATGAATGTTTGTGCAAAGGTATTTTTTCCAGTTTTTATCTGAAAGTGTTTATGTGAAAAGTTCATTTAGAAATTGATTGATTTCTTCCTTCCCTTGAAAAGATGGCGAGGTAGAGAACCAAAGCGTTAGGGAAAGGAAGGTTTTGGCCTTCTATTTCTTCATCTTTATACAAAAATCAATAAATTGATTGCTTNCTGTGGGAAGTTATCTTCGTCATGTGCCTCATGTCATCAATATATCAATGTTATATTTTTAAAGAAATCCTAGGTCACGAGTGAATCGTTTAGACGGAGTCTCACTTTCTTAGTTGGTGATTCAGTCTTTGAATCACTGGGACTCAGGATAAGGCTTTCGTTATTTTTGGAAGCCCATCGACCACGATTACCTCTATATTCTGCTAGATACATTTGTATATACTGATTCATCTAATTACTAATTAGGCACCACCAGGATACGACCAACAACACAAATGAGGTGTTGAAGGTTTTATGTTGGTGACAGCAGACACTATACTCATAAAATTGTATAGTTGATCTAACTCCTATCTTTTTGTGCTAACAACACCAACCCTTCTATAATGAGCTAGTTTCAACCAATAAGATAGAAACATTTGCTCACTCAGGACCATTTTTTCTTCTTGGATGAGTTTGATGTGGAGGATTGAGCTTTTTTGAATTCACATATACATCTTCGAATTTCCATTTGTTATTCTTATTCAACTAGTTCTAAGGTCCTACATGTCAGAGGCGAGAAATATATAGGTTAGGTCTAAAGTGAGTGGGTCTACTCGACTCTCCACTGCATCCCGCAAGGGTTTATTGTGGCTCACACCTATTCACACTCGACCGAATAAACCCAGCTTCTTAACGAAGCCGATTAGTTTGTATGGTGAGTGGTCTTTCAGATCAGATGGTAAGAGTACGGCTCTGCCGAACTCCAAAAACCTGATTTGGTCCCCAGCTGGGCAGGCCCAAAGTATGTGCTCTGCTGTTCCATCATTTTCCAAACAGAGGCGACACACACTGTCTTCCGATAGTCCGAGTCTCTGCATATGAAGATTCAAATGACAGTGACCTGTAAGAAGACCTGTTAGACATCGTAGTTCATCCCTACTATAGTCCAACAACAGTTTGGTATCAAGTTTCGAAGGGTGAATGAACGCCTTGGAGTGAGCCAATTCTGGAAGATACTGCCAGAAGTCCATAAATCTTCTTGCTATTCAGGTGTTCAATGTTTGTTTGGCAAAGCCTAAAGCCATGTCAATGACAGGTTCTGGTCCGATGAAGCTGCTTGCAGCACCCTCCTTCGCAAGGGAGTCAGCAGCCTTATTGCCTTCCAGGCTAGTATGGCCAGGAATTCAGACCAGAGACAACCTGTTAAGTCTTTTTATCGAGGAGAGTCGTTTTTGGCAATTTGCCACTAATTTAGACGTTGCTCGGTAGGAGCCAAAAGCTTCCAACGCCGCTTGACTGTCTCTCCGCACACAATTCAATAGCGTAAATTTCCGCTTGAAATACAGTCGCATAGGTTTCTAGGCAAGTTGATGTCTCTGTCCTGGGTCTGCGACTGAAAACACCAGAAGCGGAAGGTGTTTTTGATCCATCTGTGAACCAACAACTATCAGCTCTTAATATTTTTTTCTCCCCGAGGATCCAGTCCTCTCTGCTCGGGAACAGTACTTTATAAGGCAGTTCGTAGTTGACAGCTGGAGGCATAAAGTCAGAGGTCATTTCCAGAATGCTGTGACTTCCAGTGTCAACCAACAGTCTGTTGCACTCTGCATTGGATTGATTTACGCAATTGGCAATGTGTACAAGTCTGTATGCAGTCGTTCTAGCCTCTCTCTCCGGAAAATGTGCAGAGGGGGCAGTTCTAGTAGGATCTCTGTGGCCGCTGACGGTTTGGTACTGATGGCACCATTGATGGCCAGACAAGCTTGCCTCTGTAAGCTAGAGAGCTTTGCATGGACCGTTTTCTATAAGGCCTTCGGCCCCCAGGCAATTGCACCATAAGTGATCATTGGTCTGACAATCATCACATAAATTCAATGGATTTGTTTGGGACCTAAACCTCAAGTTTAACCACAAATCCTTCGGCATGTCGATTAAGACAATCTGACTTTGTGTAAAACTTTTTCCAAGTGAGCGTTCCAGGTGACTTTTTCATCAAGGACAATGTCAAGACATTTCACCTGCGTTCCAAATGGAATGACCTCACCATTGAGGGAAAGTGGCGTTAGATCGTCCAATTTTCCCCTCCTGGTGAAGGGAATTATCACAGTTTTACTGGGGCTGACAGACATCTGCTCCCTCAGGCACTAATTGTGAACAACGTCCATCGTGCTTTGGAGGATATTACAAGCTATCTTTCCCGACGTGGACCTTGCGAAGATGAAAAGGTCATCTGCATATGCTTGCAGATCTACTTTTTTTCTGTCGAGGGCATCAAGCAGACTATTCATCAGGAGCGACCAAATGCTCCTTCAATATCGAGAAATACAGCCACCGTAATCTCCTTGTTGTCAAGGGATTGGGAGATTTTCTCTAAAAGATTGTTTGATGCTAAATATGTCGACTTGCCGGTTTGATAAGCATACTGGTGGTTATTCAAGGGGAATTGCATGTAATTCCACCCTTCTGATGTGTCCGTCCAGTATCCTCTCAAGTCCTCAGTAGCTTCCTTGTATTTACGCCTCACTTGCAATTTCTGGTGTTTCATCTTAAATAATGCCGAATTCTTTCATTTTTCTCGACATGCGGAAAGTACCGTTAGCCCTCCTCTTTCCTAGTATTTGTAGGCATAAAAGAATATGTATCTGAGGAAAGTTACCTTCTGTGCTATGACCACGGGTTGAATTCTCCCATCTTTCAAGCATGCCACCTTCAAGGTAATAATTGAATTGAAAATTTGGTATCCAGGGACTTTCATGTGCCTCATGTCATCAAGATATCAATGTTATATATTAAAAGAAATCCTAGGTATCACGAGTGAATCGTTTAGACGTAGTCTCACTTCCTCAGCTGCCTAATTGGTCTTTGAATCACTGGGACTCAGGATAAGGCTTTCGTTATTTTTGGAAGCCCATTGACCACGATTTCCTCTATATACTGCTAAATACTTTGTATATACTGATTCATCTAATAACTAATTAGGTATCACCATGATACTATCACCAACACAAATGAGGTGTTAAATGTTTTATGTTGGTGACAGCAGATCTATCTCCTATCTTCTCATGCTAGCAACACCAACCCTTCTACAATGAGCTAGTTTCAAGCAATGAGATGGAAACATCTGCTTTCTGCTACTCGTAATCTTGTTAAGTTGATCTGACTCCTATCTTTTCGTGCTAGCAATACCAACCCTGCTACAATGAGCTAGTTTCAAGCAATGAGATGGAAACATCTGCTGACTCGGGCCCATTTTTTTTCATCTTGGTTCAGTTTGACGTGGAGGGTGAGCTTCTTTGAATTCACATATACATCTTCGAATTTTCATTTGTCATTCTTATTCACCTAGTTCTGAGGTCCTACATGTCAGAGGCGAGAAATATATAAGATGCCTTCAGCAGAAAAATTTAATGCGTTACTGATAGTGATTATCTAATGTTAAATCGCAGTCAAGAAATAACTTATCACATTATTAGCTGTAATCAAATCCAATTAATATAATTAAAATCTGATGTCTATTGGGTTTTTGATATTTTTAGTTTACGTAGACGTTTCGACGATGTCAGGACCTCTTCAGTTGATGGTTCTATCGAATGTTTCTTATAGAAAAAGATTTCGATTTCGTATTTGCCAGTATGCAGATTCATGTTTGGAGCCTACCAGTAATTGTTTACAATATTATACTGGAGTTACAGGAACGATTTCTTCTTTCAACTACGATCAAGTTTCAATGTTCAATAGAAGTGTTCCTGTATATTTTGTAAGTGAACTTAGTTTTATATTTATACTTGATGATAATGTTTCACAATGGGGATTTTTTTATTAATACTGAAGTTCAATTACTTGTGACATTTTCTCTGTTATTTGAAAACAATAGTTATACTTTTGCAGAATAATTTGAACTACGCCATTTGCATAAGACGAGAAGCAGGTTTCTGTTCGATCACTTATACAAATGTCAGGAATGGAGTAGAATATCCATTTGAACTCCGTAACGTAGGTAATGGTGAGTTATCAAAAAAATGAGTAGAAGTTCATGAAATTTTGACTATTAACAAATATTAAGTATGAGTATTGTAACCCCATTTCAGTATGCACGAAAATTATTCCGTATGATCATATTTTTTAATTTCTTCATGAATATATAGTTTTTGCTAAATTTTACCATAAAAAAATGTTTGCTCTCCAAAATATAGTGAGCGTTATTTTTGAATCACATTGAAATGTAGGTCAATTGAAGTTTCGAATTTTAGATGGTGTTTCAACTTTACCAAGAGGAATCGCTGGTGTAGATACCATTGATTGTCCAGATGATTATATTGTGGTCGCAGGAACGAGATTATGTGGTTACAAATTCAATGATGGATCGAATTCAAATTTTACAGTTAATGCACCGGTTACAGGTGAGATTTGTGATTACATCTGAAAATATTATTTGATCTAACTGTTCGAATTTGATAAAACCAACCTTAGTGACAATTCGTTGAACTGATACGAGTTTTTTGTATAACAAACAACAACATATTTTTCTATAGTCGGGTATTTGAGGACTTTAGTTCCAAAATTCAATTAAATTTTCTGCTTTATTTATTGCAGAATATTGACAGTTCATACTGTAACAGAGATGAATTTTGTGTGCGTTCCGGGTAATAGTGAATTAATCTCAGGATGCCAAAATTCTTTGTACAGTCGATAATGACTCCCAAAACTAGAAATTACGCATTTCAAATTCCACATTCATTTGACTCAAGGAAAAAATCACTCACCTAACACCTGGATGAAAAATTATCTTTGCAGTGATCAACAAATTATATTTTAATATTTTTTTTATCGAAAAAACACAAGCACTACAGGAAAATCCTTAAGGCGCTCCCAGAGCGGTGCCTGTACGAAAGTAGCGATTCACATTGGATTTGAATCGTGTAGTCCACATAAACGCAGTTTTCCAGATGAATGAGTTCTTGAACAGTGGAGTTCGAGGGGTACTGTCCGTCTCGTATTTCTGAAATATACCGCTCTTGGTGGAACCAAATGTGCCAAGTCAATTGAACACTTTCCGTGAAAGAATCTCTGGGAGAGAGACAAATCTCTAACGTTTCTTTGATGTTCCAGACTATCAAGGTTGTACGTGATTTTGCGTCTCCAATCAGGCGATGGATGAAATCCGGCAACTTCAGGATATGTTTGGGGGTAGAGCTCCATACATGAGAACAATATTCCAAAGAAGGCCTGATCTGAGCTTTATTAAACATCAAAAATTGCTGGGGTGTATACAGCTTTCTAGGTCGGAACAGTGTTCCAAGTTTTTGAAAAGCAGCCTTTGCAATTCCAGCGACATGATTGTGCCAAGACTTATCGAAGCAGAAAGCGGGATTGTCTGACCTGATCCGGTTCGGCGACATTTATCTTCTTGGACAAAACCGATGCCTCTGTATTTGTGGCATTGAATTGAATCTGGGTACTTTCGCCCCAATTCGAAATCACTTCTACATCCCCATTAAGATATGCAACTTCTTGCTGCCCATGAAGATGTACATCCGTAGCAAATGTCCTGGAATCCAAATGGAATGACGAGACAAGTGTGCTGTCGTCAGCAAAGCAATAAATTGGATCCGTTGATGTACAATAAAAAAAAGGTTGGACACAATATGGATCCCTGGGAAACACTAGCGCTGATGGTAAAAGTATTTGAGAGATATCCATCTACGGCCACTTGTAGGAAATGTTCTTTCAGGAAGCTGGAGAGCCATACACAAAAATGATCCGATAAGCTATAACATCGAAGTTTGGCTAGCAAACCCTCATGCCACACACGGTCAAATGCCTTAGACATATTAAGCGCAACTGTTGACCTTTGTTTCCGAGAACCATATTGATTATCGCTCAAGATGTTGAAGCTTTCCAAATATTGAAGGTTATGGTGGTTTTCGGCTTTTTCCATGATTTTGGATATCACTGATAGCAAAGCGACTGGTCTATAGTTGTTTGAAAGCAATCTTCCAACAAGAAGGAAAACCCCCTTACTTGAAAGACAGGTTGAAAAGTCTGCAAAATACTGGTGCGAGTTCATTGGCGCACTTTTCAAGTACGATGACTGGCACTTCATCAAGACCAGACGCACTTCATCAAGACCAGCTGTTCCAAAATTCGCCCGACTAGGCGTTGTCGACAAGTAATTTCAGGCATTGTGGATTCTAGTGTGGAAATAGTGGGTGGTGCCTTTCCCAAAAAATGGACTGTGGAGTGGGACGCAAATTGTTCAGCTAGTAGATTTGCTTTTTCTATGGCTGTCGTTGCAATTGATTAATCCGCTTTTGTTATTGGTAAAATTGTGGATTTTGTAAAGTTATGACTAACAGCTTTAGCTACCGACCAGAAGGATCTAGACTCGTCGGGATTGGCAAGCAGTTTATCCCTAATTCTCTAATTGTGGAGAGTACATGGAAGGTAGGGACTAACGGGACTTTTACTCAAACACGTTCAAAAAACAAACTTACTCTATTTCACAAATCGTCAATCTTTCGTCCCTGAACAGTTTGAGTTTGACAATTCAAAATTAAATATTGAAAAAAATTCACATAATCGAGAAAGGTTAATGCAGTCGAGCTGCTGGAAAATAATTCCATGATAATAAAAACATAAATATATAAGCACCATTCTGATCATTCCTATATGTTCCACTTATGTCCTCGCTTGCGTTTATACTCAAAATAAAGGAAAATTTGAAGTATTTTATTTTACAGATACTAACGCAGGTCCAATTGTCATACCAGTCAGGACCAACTCCGCTGTAACTGGTTTGGGTTTCAAGTTATTTTACACCCAAAATCGTTGTATTACATGATAATATTGACATGGAGCGTCATGAAACATTGTTATATTTATTCAGAGAAGAATTTATTTATGATAATATTAACAATTATGTAATTAAAATATTGGAAATATGATCTTGTTCGTCCTTCATTTGTTTGCCAGATATAAATAAATGTTTCGATTAAATAAAATGGTCACTTGTATTATATCGTTGAAGAGATAATTTTATATTCTATTTTTAGCTTTAATATCTCAGTGAATACTCATTCAATTCAATTGAAATAAGCGACATTGAATCACTGCACTTTTTTTGTTGTTGTTTTTTTTTGTTTGTTTGGGATACTCAGACGGTTCAATCCGTCTGAAATGACCTTCCCGATACTGATGATGAGCAAATACTCCGAAACCGGTCTGTCGGTGGTCGTCCCGAGCAAAAGAAATTAATTTCTGCTTGCCATACATAAGAAGTTACTTGCGACGAATATTTGAATGGAAGACGTTGCACAGGTGCCTGATGCTTTTACTTCAGCTTTCTCGGCATTGGCTGGATTGGTCGAGTATATACCACACGTACCTGCAAAGTCGTAGGTTCACATGATAGGCAAGTTTATGGCGTTTCCACCTGAACTTGATGGAATAGGATGGATAGGAATGTGTATGGTTTTGTTTAATATATTGAATGTGAGGTCTTGTTGTGTTTTGATTTGTAGTTGTTCCTCGGTAAGTGATTTATGACTGTTAAATTTATGGATGTTCCAGATGTCCATGCGGTTTCTCTTGTTGACTTGTTTTATGAGTTTTATGTTCTCTGGTGGGGAGAAATTATGTTTGTTTTGTGTGGCGTGTGTTGCGAGGTTTGATTTATATACTATTGGATTTATGTATGCCTTTTTGTGCTTTTGTACCTTTGGATCAGTTTTTTGTCTGTTGGGTTGGCTTGATCCTTGTTCTGTATTTTTTGTTTGATTCTGTTTTCTAATGTATCTATTGTTTTTTGGGTGTATCTGTTTTCGTTCGCTATATGGTATATGATTTTCCGTTCTTTGTTCCGGGCTTCCTTGTTGAGTGGTATCCTTAACATTCAATATATGAATGCGTTATATGCAGCCAGTTTTTGTGATGGTGGATGGTTTGAGCTTGCGGGTATGGTGGAGCTTGTTTGTGTAGGTTTCCTGTATATTGCCATTTGAAATTGTATTTTGTTGTGGTTATATCTGATGGTTATGTCCAGGTAGTTAAGTTTCGAGTTGTTTTCTTCCTCAATGCTGAAAAATAGTTTTTGATTTATTTCGTTAATTTCTTTTGTTATTTGATCTATTCTTCTCCCATAAACATCGGGTAAAACCACAACAAAACACAATTTCAAATGGCAATATACAGGAAACCTACACAAACAAGCTCCACCATACCCGCAAGCTCAAACCATCCACATCACAAAAAATGGCTGCATATAACGCATTCATATATAGAATGTTAATGATACCACTCAGCAAGGAAGCCCGGAACAAAGAACGGAAAATCATATACCAAATAGCGAACGAAAACGGATACTCCCAAAAGACAATAGATAAATTAGAAAACAGAATCAAACAAAAAATACAGAACAAGGATCAAGCCAACCCAAAAGACAAAACAACACAACGATGGACAGCATTTACGTGCGTAGGACACCAAACCAAAAAACTAACAAACATCTTCAAGCCATTGAACATCAACATCACATACAAGCCAAACACGAAAATAACGCAAAAAATAAACAGCTATGAAGAAGAAGAAGACAAAAACCAAAACGGGATATACAGTATACAATGCTTGCACTGCAACAAATTCTATATCGGCCAAACCAAGAAAAAACTGATCCAAAGGCAGGATGAACACAAAAAGGCATACATAAACCCAATAGTATATAAATCAAACCTTACAACACACGCCATACAAAACAAACATAACTTTCCCCCACCAGAGAACATAAAACTCATTAGACAAGTCAATAAGGGAAANACAAATACGAAGGTTATCGAGTGTCTTCATATAGATAAAGAAGTTATTAATTGGACATAGCACTCAAGAAATTGGCAAACCATAGACACGTGTTTCGGGCTACGTGACATTCTGGACCCGGATGTCACGCAGGTAGCTATAACATATAATTTGCGGTACGCATTCACGTAACATTAAAAAACTGGATACAGCAGATTTGGTTACCACTTTGAGACTATTATGCAAAAAACTAACGTCGGGAAGTTGAATACGGCGGATGTTTCATAAGCCAATAGGGATCATTTTGGTGTTGTAATTATACTACCACAACAGAAAAACTTAGGAATGTTCCTTTTATGGTACTAGATTATTTGAGTAACACTTTATCCTGATATTTCCACTGCACAGTTTGCGTATCAATACAGTACGAACACGCCTAAGGAAGCTAATATATAGTGAACCACGTGTTTCGATTTTGTAACCTGAATACGTTATGGATTTTTAAGTATCGGTCAATTCCATCACAGATATTAGATTGTGATAAGATAACATGAGAACTTTTTTGTCATTGCAAACAAAATGATCGAATTCAATTTTCGTGTTTTGGTATCTATTCGTTAACAGTACTAACCGCATTTCAAATTTGAATCTAAATGAAAAATATTTATGAATTCCACTTTAGAATTTACTCATCAGACACATTTATTGTGTCTGTTTACTTACAAAAATCGTAATTCCGGACCCAAATGCTCAACTTATAATTGTCCCTAAATCAAAGAGATATTCGAGAAAAACTTTCAACTTTTTTTTCAGATTAGATGTTTTGTCATTTACAATTTCCTTCCGTAAGAAAAGATTTTGAAACATACGAGATTAATATTATTCTAGTTCAATACATTTAAAAGGTGGAGGGCGAGGATAGTATATTAAGACGGATTTCCAACAAACGCGTGTTCTGTTGTGAAATGTTTTCTATCGTTTCCACTACATGAACAGTTTGCGTCATGCATTCTCTAGACTAGACTATGCTTTATAATTGAATATTTTGAGCGAAAGCGACAAAAAAACTAGATACTAGATGAAATCATTGTTAAGAAGACGAATAGATTATGGAACGGATAAAACTATGACATATTTGATAAATGATGACATAGGAATGAATGAAACTGAGATCAACGTTTCGCAAATTTCTAAGAATGTCTAATCATGAATTTGAGAACTTATTAAATGCACTGGGACCAAAAACGTTCAAACAGAATATAAATTACAGATATGTTATATATGACAAAACACCGAAACCTTTTGACCTTTCCGCATGGCGACGGGACATTTCATTGTTGACAAAAACAGTCACCCGCAACACAAGGTTTTCAAAATGTTTCATATTTTGACAATCAAGTTTTTGTTTTGTTGATATCAACAGAGTTGCATTTTTGCTGTGGTTTTGTCCGTTTGGTAGAAATCCGCCTTCAGCTCGGATGAATATGAAACCGTTAGAGTAACTAATGGTGTCAACCCAACATGGAATTGAGAAGGTTTGTTAAATCAATAAAAATTCGATAAACAATAACAATTACTCTATTCAAAATCTAGAAACAGAAACCGCTCTTACAAAATACTTTTATTTCCATTGAAGATATAATTGACTTTCAACAGAACTGATGTTTTACATAGGATTTTGTTTCATTGTTATTTATGTGGTTATTGATTGAAAAATTGTGAGCCGTCACGGGACGCCTCGCCTGCCAGATGTGAAAGATTAAAAATAATACTAAATAATAATTACTAAAGATCTCAAATAATAAATATCAATAATAAATGTTTCAATACAAATTTCACCATCATTAGAAAATTATTCAATTATTTGATTTTTTGATGTTCCTTTTAATACCAAATAAGAAAAACATTCATGCCACACTCAGCTGATTTTGAAATAGGGTCATTATCTGTTTCTGTTTTTCCGTTAACCAGCTGTCGCACCCCTACGAACGACAACCCTAAGAAGTCGAAACTTGTGCGAGCTAAGGATTAACGAGGGATTATGAAATGTATTCTTCAAGTAAGCGTTTTAGTGCATTAATTTTCATTAGACTGAAATTGTAATTTATTAAGGCGAACACCAGATGTTTCGGAATGAGACATTTGCCTCATTGCCACTTCAGCACCAATGTTTATTGATACTATAAGATGAAGTACTCACTTCATTCATAAAATTACGACTTTATGTCGCTCATTTGATCAAATCCCAGTCATAGGTTTCTTGTATTAAGATGCAGAAGTAGAAAACCAAAATTTTTCTTTTCCAAAAAATTGTCTTTACTATAAATAAACCCTTTTCAATTCAAACAAGATTCCAATGGCTGGGATCTCATTGAATAAGCGTATGAATATCATTACATACTGTCATCGATGACATGAGTAGATTTAACTCAGTCGTGATATAAAGTTGTAATTTTATTAATAAATTGAGCATTTCATTATATGAGTGGTACTGAAGAGGCAATAAGGCAAGTGTTTCCGAAACATCGGATGTTCGCCATTGAGGATGACAGTGTTCCATGTAAGTCAAATTTTAGCTCTTTCATACACTATATATAGTATTTTTTTCGTGTAATTCAATGTTCATATGAAAGTAGTTGTTTCAAGAGGGCTTTTTCTTCCAGTTTGTATCTGAAAGTAACTCCTTTGTATGATATACGCATCTTTGTATAGAATAAGTTTTTTGAAATTGATTGCTTTCTTCCCTTTTTCGGAAAATTCTCGCCTTTTTTTTCATAAAGATAGAGAAGTGGAAAGCCAAAACCTTTCTTTCTCACTTTTATATATTTTTTAAAATATTCACGATTCAATTTGCAAATAAAAAAAATTCCTAGAAAGTGGGAAAGGTTTGATCCGGCACTGGTCTTTGTTGTATAATGGGTAAGGAAATGCAGGTTTATTGACAAAAAAATAATAGGTACCTCATATACATTAGTTTGACAATATAATCGATACTATATTGATTTGAAGACATTATCTAGGAACTCACAAAAATATACATATGTTGTGAAACGTAAACGATAATAGTTGTGTTCCGCGATGGTCATCCATCCGAATGAATTGATTGTACAAAAAAGTAAGTTTAGGCGACAGTTACTAATGAATCCAACAAT